CTGGAATAGTTCTTTGCACAAAGAAACAGGTGGAACGTATCGAGCGTGATAAACATGCCGGGAATGTTTATGCTACGTCACAGTCTCACGTCACTTGATGTGGGCAGCTGGGACGTGTCTTCGAGTGTGTTAGTGAAGAATATATTTTTCCTTACCGGTTTGTTATCTGAAATCACTTTAGGAATTGTTTTCCATATCACTGATGACCCTGCATTCGGCAATGCAGGGTCTTATGTGCGTACTAAATGGATGCAGGTAAATCTTGGCAAAGGCGGAACACACGAACATCCTAAAGGCAAAGTATTTGAATCGCCGCGCGATTTACTTGTCTTTCATCATGACAGAACAAAGCGAGAAACTGACATAGAACACTACATACGAGTAGATTCTGCTCAACTTGCTGTTACCTTTGACAAAGGTGCTCATGATGTGACAGGTGCGATGACTTCGCGGGTTCATAGTGCTAGGGAAACGAAGACCCTCGCTAAAAATGCGTATAAGAGAGCCAGCTATACATTTAACGGTTGGAAATATTCTGAAGGTAACATTTATGCCGAAAAGGCGGTATAGATGCTGTCCACACGTGGTCACACAGAGGAGAAAAGCTTGGGAAAGATGAGATAAAGGCCGTTGCCCAAAGGGATAGCAAACTCGTTCCCACTGCCTTTGTCGTAGAGCTTGTCGATAGGACCCACGTGATAATGTTTGAGGTAGATGCTCCTTCAAAGACAATAGTTGCGAGATGGCCCAGTCCAATTCAGGTAAAACACGGTCAGGATGCTGAGGTACCTACCGGGGTTTTTGCGTGCTGTCAGGGTTACAAATTCACCGATGGATGGACTACAAACAAAGATGGCACTGGTGCTCCTTATGAAACTGGCGGTAAGATCAAGAGTGTTTTTTCTCGATGACTCTGTATGCTCAGTGGAAAGCGACAGATTTTACCGATATGATGCGCGAAGCATTTTATCGCATACCTTGGAGGAAATTCCTACCCACGGTGGCCTCTCTAATTTGGAAGTTGTCTCAGTTGCATTTTGAATAGCTTTGTGGCTTAGACAGTGCCATGACCCATGTAGAGCGGGCATTTTGTTAAATGTACTGCCGTGGAAATGTCATATGCTGCCGTGGGAATTGCGGTATCCGCCGCGGGAAATATCGTGTGTTGCCGTGGAAAATGCTGTATGCTGCCGCAGGAGATTTGGCATGTCATTGCGAAAAAAATGCGGTGTTCACTGCTTAAATGTCGAAATTTTCTCGATATAGCCCGGAAACAATACTAGTCAATAGAGGGCTTAAATGAACGTTATGTATATTTTCAGATAATAATCAGAAAAATATAGCCAGGTCAGACGGCGTTAGCACGACGCCGATACTACGATCGCCACGGAACTATCCGGTCATTCAAGTAGGTTTCGGAGGTTTACAATGCTAAAAA